TAGTGCCAGGACGCCTCCTGAAGAGCTTAAAAAACAAAAACAAGGCAATGGTTCATCTAAGGAAACCCTCGCAGGCAGCAGCTACTTGGCGTCCGAGTGTCAGCAGGGTCTCAGGGCCACGGCTTGCTGAGTTGCTGTGTCTATTTAAAAACAACTCGGCCAAACAGCACAGAATACTGGTTGTCTTTTTTCCCACGGAGGGGAGTATTTTCGGCACGCTGCTGCCACGACCTTGGCTAGAGACAACTGCTCGCTGCTGGGTTTCTCTCAAGGCTCTCTGCACACGTGCTAAGCATCCTCACGGCCCGCAGGGCGGCAGGTCCAGAATACTCAGCTCAGGGAGGCTGGCGGCCTCTGGCAAGTCCAGGTCTCTGTTCTGCACCCCACACCCGACCAGGCACATCCCGGGCCCCGTCCCGCACACACCAATGCAGTAATGACAAGGCCCAAAGGCTACCATGGGGCCCTTAAAGGTCAGAACAAGGAGAGCCGGGTGCTGGGGGGGGGGCACGAAGACTCACAGGGGGAGTGGGAGAGTCTGCTTGCACCTCGGGCCACCTGCACGACTGCTCGCCCTGAGCTCACCTGTCTGCTCTGCTGACTTGCTCCTCAGGAGATGCCCATGAGAGGCGCCGCCCACACCAACTGACGTCACGGGCAACCCGTGGCCGCCCCTGGCTTCAACCGCCCAACCCAGGTCCAGGACCTGGAGGTCAGAGCAGCCCTCGCCAGCGGGCTGGGCCGGGAGAACAACTCACGATGCAGGGGCGGCTTCCCCAGATGCGGTGTCAAACGAGGACCACAGCTGGGCTCCGGCGTCCTGGCAAGAGCGTCTCTGGGGAGGCTGTGCGCGGCCGTGGTGGCCGGAAGCTCCGGCACAGCCCACTTCTGGACTCCAGAGGAAGACAGGTGAGCGGCGCAGAGCGGGTCCCTGGGGAAGGGGGCTCTGGCAGAAAAGAGAAAGAAGCCACGCCTCCTCCAAACTCCACTGCTGCTCCTGGAGCCTCTCCCGAGGTTTAAGCAAAAGGGTGCAAGAGTTCACGGCACAGCTGCCCTCCCGGACAAACAGAGAAAGAGGACAGACAGGCAGAAGCAGCCACGACCGACGCGGACGTGTGGGGAGGCACGCACTCCATTAGCTCCGGGGTGCTCTGGGTCCTTGGCGAGTGGGGGAGGGAGGGTGCACGCAGAGTTCAGCAGCAGCCGCTGGAGGCTGTCACGTTGGAGATGTACTTGGGAATGAGTACGGCCCACCCGAGGCCACCAGCCAGCAGAGCGTGAGTCACCCCCCTTCCTGAGCTCCCGCCTCTCATGCCTTAGAGGCCGGGGACCCTCACACCCTCCCCAGGGCTCTCAAATCACCAGTGACTCACGGAGACCCACTGTGCAGGCTGCTCCAGTGCTTCTGACCTGCCACCAAGCAGCAGGCAGGCACTGCAGGGGGCAGGGTCCCCATGCTGAACACACAGGTCCGGGCACGGTACTTCTTGTCCCAGGCCCTGGGGGGAGCCCCTCTCCCATGACCAGGCAGCCCACGACAATCCTGTAGTTGCAACGAGGGCAAGACACAAACTTCCAGAAGGAAATGCCGGTCATGTTCCAAGCATCAGCCAACAGAGAACCCAAACCGTTGATTCGTCGGCAAACTCGTTTCCTAAATGAAGTGAGGGTAGCAAAGAAAGCCCCAGAAGCCATGTGGCTGCCCCAGACTGAGTGTCATGGGAGGCAGAAGATCCAGGAGGGTTTACCTGGTGCAGGAGGCAAAGCTGTGGCGCCTGCCTGGAGGAGGGGCAGAGGTGGCCTCTGCGGGTCAAGTCTGTGCTCATGGGTGGTTTCTGCCCAGTGGCTGCCGATTTTGAAATTTCCCAAGGGTGTGCTATGGCTGCTGCAGCCCCTGTGTATGTCCTTCTTTGCCAGATGGGAGAACAGTGGAAATAGCTCTTAAAAAAAAATGGGTTCCAGAGAAAAAACCTGCAAATACTGACACCTAGTAGGGTTCCCTAGTAGTGAGTCCAGGTGCCCGCCTGCTGGCCTTAGAGCAAAGGCCACAGCTGACACACAGAGCGCCCACTCTGCCTCTTGCTGCCTGGCTCTTAACTGGAACAGCGCTACGGCATGAGCAGATGTCCCAGCAAAACCTGGGACATGAGACTGAGCCCACCCAGAGAACGGCGACTCTAAGAAAAAAAGGCGCAGCAGGGAGCAGCACCGTGCGTGCCCCAAACACATGCACATCCATAGAGAGACACGGGAGCTGCACAGGACACTGGGTAACAAAGCAAGGAGCAACCACAACGTCTCACCATCAAAATCAAATCGGACATTCTTCCTAGGGAAGATAAAGCGGGATATTCTTCGGGGAAAGCGGACCAGGAACATAAAGAGATGAGAAGCAGAAAAGATACAAATATGAAAGGATCCGCTTAGGAGGTTCCACACTGGAACAGCAGGCAGTCCAGAGAGAAAGAACGTAGCTACGAGTAAGACACCTGCCAGGGAAGTCAGCCCAAGGCGCAGCAGCACCGGACCCGCACCAAGGCAGCGCAGGCAACTCCAAGGAGGAGACTGGGAGCGCTGCCAGGGAGAGAGGGGCAGCTCAGCCCCTGCCAAGGCCCAGGGACCAGGACAGTGGGGGCGGGGCGCCACCTTGCACTCAGAACTCTATGCTCAGCCACTCGTGGGTAAGGGCACAAGGAAGACAGGAGCTCACATGAGGATGGCTTTTTTAGACTTTTGAGACTGAGACTTAGGCTGCAAAAATTTGAATACTTAACTTGCAATCCTGCACTCCCTTTCTTCAGGTCACTAAAAAGTCATGGAGGGGGGAGGGCATCACACACGCTCCTCAGACGCCCGCAGTGCTGTCCACGCTGCACCCTAGGGAGATCTCCCAGTTACCGTGCCGCAGCCACACTCAGGGTGCCGGCAGGGCTCAAAGGCTCATGACCGCGACAGCAAGTCAGCCGATGTTTCCACAGGCAGCTTAACAGGAGAGGGTGAGCTCATCATGTAAAAGTGCAAAGCAACAGCTAAGAGTCCAACGTGGTAGCCTCCAGGGAACCAGAGAAAAGCCTCACCTGCAGAGGGGTGGCCTGTCCCCTAGCCTCCCGCATCCAGCCTCACCCAAGTCAGCACAGACTCAAATGAGATGTCTGCCTTTCAAAAAAAAAAAAAAAAAATCAGTTTAGTGCCAGCCCGATCCTAAGGACTTCCAGGCACAGCGCCAGCGGATGTTCTCAGCAATGTTGCAAGTTGTCGATGGAGATTTTTCTGAATGGGGTCTGGACACATAACAGGAGATGATTCACTCTCGGGTCAGCTCCTCCCCGGCTCATCAAACAGCTAACGTAGGCAGGGATCCAGCGGTGCCAGGGTTTGCAAGGATCACACACGCACTCGTGACCATCTGCACCTCTGAGCCTCCCACAACACCAGGGGCTCATCAATTAGCTCCTTTTCTCTCAGCCTCTGGGATGGACTCACTCCAAGCTCCCAACAGCTCATGGCCAGGGGACACATTCTCTCGGCGAGGGCAAGCCGAGGGCTGGACCACATTCAGGATTGGTGGCGAGGCCAGATTGGGCTGTCATCCATGCAGACAGGCCCTCCTGCTGGGATTCTGCAGACTTGAAACCTGCTCCTTGGCGTGAGCGAGGCCCTGTGATTCCTGGAGTGAGAACACCAGCGGCTTGTGGGTGACAAGGCCGGCCGGGCTGTTCCAGAGGGAACAGGCGCTGAGGTTGAAGGCGAACACTACCTCTTCATGGGCAGAATACAGGAGCAAAACTAAGGTTGACAGCTGGCCTACGATGTTAGGATGTGCTAAATGAGGACTTTTTATCCAGCCATTTTATCTTTGTTTCAGATATTGGTGCGTGGGTGGAAGTTATCTACCAGAGGTGGCAGCCCCAGCCGGTGTGCTCCTTTAAGTTTGTCCCTTGTGGGGCGGTGTTGTTGGCCAACCTGCTCTGCCACCGGGGCTGGTTTAAACAAGCTGCCCCCAGAGGCCTCTCCTAACAGTGCACCATCTTACCAGGGGGGCCTACCACGTGCTTCCTGGGAGGTGGGGGCAGGGAGCAGCACACGGTCTCCACTGACCTGAGTTTTGGCAAGAAAAAGAGGAGAGGGAACCAAGGCCATGGAAAGTGCCAGCGGGGGGTGGGCTTCCCTCCTTGCACGGCCCACCTGCCCTGTTCACTCCCGGCGCTTTCCCAGAAGGCGTCTTTGAGAAACCCATTGCAACCAAGCACCAAGGACGTCCACGCCACGAGGCAGATGCACACAGCAGCGACCCCAACATCAGCGTCCAACATCAGCCCCGCCCCTCTCTAGTCCTCCTCGACGTTCTTCCCTGTGGGACCCTGAGAACGAGACAGGAGTCTCAGGAGCAGTCACCGAGGCTGAGGGGTGGGAGGGGGGTCTCAGGGCCCACCCCACCCAGAGCTCTGCTTTCAATGCCACGTCCAGACTGACCCCCAGATGGAAAAGAGTTGAAAATCCCCGCTGTTTCCAATCCAATCAACACAAGAGTGAATTCCAAGTGCACCCCACCACCCCGAAACCAGGGTGCGCAAAGTGGACCGTGGCTGTGACATCGCCTTCTCCGGCTTCCTCGGTTTTACCATTCCCTGGTCGTGCTTGTCCAGCGATCACCAGGTGGCAACAGGCGCCAGGGCCCCACAGCTCCACTCACACACCATCCTGGAGGACGGGGTGGCAGTCTCCCACAAGCAGGGGCTCAGCCTGGGACCCCCCATCCGAGAACCCCTTAAAAACCTGCATTTGCGATGAGCTAACATCTGGGTTTGGGCTCCATATTAGTAAGGATGGTTACTCTCCGACCAAGCCAGGCAAACCCACCTGCACAGTTCTGGGCGCACAGTCCGGGAGAAAAGCATGCTCAGGTCTCGCCAAAGGACAAGGAAACAGGAACCCGCAGCAACAACAGGGGGAGGCAGGACCCCGCCCAGACCCCAAGATATAAAAGACCCCTCCCCTGCTCAGGGTCCTGTCTCTTTATTATCCAGACACACTTCAGAGTCTGTTGACATCCAGCTGTGGGAAGAGCAGCAGACAGTACACCAGGAGCCACAGGAAGAGGATGAAATACACCAGGTCCGGCTGCTGCACCAGCTGCGTCAGGGAGTCGCTGTGCGGGCTGTGCGTCCCCGGCGCTGCGGCTTCGCCCGAGTTGTCGGCCTTCCTGCAGGACACACCGCAGAGGACGGCAGTTACAAGCGGGTCCCCGGAGGGCAGACTCCACCCAGCACCACCCGTCCCCCGCCTGCCGTGTGGACCCCAGGCAGGGGGCTGGCTGCCCGGGAAGCCCCAACACTAGGAGGGGCTGTTAGCCCCACTCTACAGGTGGGCAAGTCGAGACTCAAGGGTGGAGGCTCCACAGAGCTGGCACCTGGGCCGGGGTGCAGCACCACGTGGACGCAGGGGACCCTGGGAGTCATCTGAAGGAACAGGGCTCCCCTGTGACACACGCTGTCAAAAAAACCGGCTCAGGCAAATGAACCAAGGCAAGCCCCACCCCCACCCCACCCAGCTAGGCTCTGGCTCCGTCATCTTTGCAGTCACAACTAGACTCTATCTGGTTAGCTTTAGCTTCCTTCTGTAATTTTGCAGGCAGCGTAATTTTGTGTTCAGCAGTGCGTGATGTGGATTGGGGGAGTTCGGACCACATCCCCCCAGCTACCCCGAGAAGCGGGGCAGGCATCAAACATTCGCAGCCAGCAGCACACCCAGTGCTGCTCAGGCAGACGACGGCCGGCTGACTGCGCTGCCTTCTCTTTCTTAAAACTGTCTACACAGCGCCGGCATCCCATACGGGCTGGTTGGAGTCCCAGCTGCTCCACTTCCCATCCAGCTCCCTGCTAATGCGCCAGGGACGGCAGTGGAGGACGGCCCATGTAGTTGGGCCCCTGCATCCACGTGGGAGACCTGGAACAAGCTCCTGGCTCCCGGCTTCCGTCTGGCCCAGCCCTGGCCGCTTGGCCATTTGGGATGGAAGATTTCTCTCTGTGTCTCTCCCTCTCTCTCTGTAATTCTGCCTTTGAAATAAAATACATCTTTAAAAAAGATTATCAATGTAAATAAGTGTAAAGGACATGTATTTTTTATTCCCAAGGCAATAAATGCTTGGTGTTGAAAGCGTGGCCAGCGCACCTGCACCTGTCAACCTCGCAGGCTCGACCTCCCCCGGCCCCGGCCCACACAGCCAGAGCTGCAGCCTCCCTGCGAGCCTGTGCGGCCCTGCCGCCAACCAGCGCGTACATTTCCATCCTGGGGCGGGACAGTGAGGGTCAGCTCCCCTCTGTTTGTCGGGCTGTGGGGAGGAGGCTGGCGGTCCGAGGACCACACTCCCAGGGGCTGGGCACTACTCAGAGGCAGCGTTCTGGTGCCCATCATGTAAGCCCCTCCCCAGGCCCGTTGGAATCCACAGGAAAACAAAACCCAGACGGCCGCCGCGTGTGACACCGTGGCTGGAGCGGGGACGAGGCGAGCTCAGAGCGGCCGGGTCGGGCGCGCGCCCTGGGTCTCCCGGGCTCTGACGGGCAGCCCTACTGCAATGGGCCTTAGAGAAGAGGGCTGCTAGAAGCCCGACGGGAAGAAATACTTTCATGGACATCCTGGCTTGCTTGCACTCCCTCTTCAGATCGGCTCTGATGCCATAAAACTGTAAAATCAGCTCAGTGAGCCTCTCAGTATTGTACCTGTAGTGGTGACAGAACAAACACGGTGGTCAGGGCACAGCAGGCTACGGCCTCAGCAAGCCCGCTCCCGCCTCTCCGGGCTCTGTGGGCACACTGCACATCCGGCCGGGGCCGGGGCTAGGGCCGGGGCTGGGACCGGGGCGCGGGAACTAAGCTGCCGCCTGTGACGCCAGCATCCCACGTCCCGCTGCCAGTTCAAGTCCCTCAGCCAGCTCCTGGGAAGGCCGTGGGTGAGGGCCCAGGTCTTTGGACAGCCCCGCCCAGGTGAGAGACCAGGATGGAGTTCCTGAACTCTGGTTTCAGACTGGCGCAGCCCGGGTTATTATAGCTATTTGGGGAGTGAACCAGTAGACAGAGGATCTCTCTCTCTCTCTCTGTCTCTCTCTAATAAATCAATAAACCTTAAAGAAAAGGATGCTGCACTGCGTAAATGCGGCTGTGGGCCCCTAACCCTGAACCGCTCAGGCTGAGTCATTTCCCCAACCTTGCCTGCCCACTGTTCATTAACATCCACTTCTCCCTCCCACGCTCACTGAATGCACCCTCGTGCCTCCTGGAGCAGCTACTAGTTCTTGCACGAGCCCAGAGTATCAACAAAGCACAGGCGGGGAGCAGCCGCCCCCCGGGGAAATCCAGCTGCGTAATCAAGAGCACGGAGGAGTAGCGCCACCCACCTGGTTAGTATTCGGTGTCTCCTGTCATCCAGATCAGCTGCGTTCCTCGAGTGAACATAGCTAAAATGATCCTACAGTGAAATTCATAAACAAAACCCCGCAACCCAATTAGTAAAGATGAAATCTCTGAAACAGAAAATAAGATGATTTTTTTTAAACACACAAAGCCAAGCGAGCCACGCTTTCCTCAATACTGCAGACGTCTACTTCCAAAATCACAGCGCTAAATCTAAATGGACAGCTCCCCGCCCCCACCCTCCCCGCCCTCTCCTGATGCCCCTCCCACCACCTACAGCCTGCCTGGCGGGCGCTGCTGGGGGTCCCAGCGCCCCAGGGACTCAGCCCCTGTGTGCGTGGAGCGGACCCCAGGGCTGAAGTCGCGCCTCTCTGTGAACAGGATCTGCCTGGGTCTGTGTGCGGGCGCTGGGCCGGGGGTGGGGTGGGGGAGCGGTGGTGTCTTGGATGCACTTTTTTTTTTATAACAAAGAGGCCTTTAAAATCATCACTTTATTTACATCCCTTATTGCCCAAACTGGACATCCGATTGGACTGTGCTTAACGACAAGGTTTCAATGTGTTTGTCTTCTATCCAAAAGTATAGCTGGAGCAGGTCAGTACCCTCAAAGCTCTGGGCTGGGAGGAGGAAGGGCAGAGAGGAACGGGTTAGCAGGGGCGGTGTGCGAGGAGAAGAAACTCACATACTAACCGATTCCAAAGACCTATTAGTATGTGGCCGCAGGTAAATGCTGGAGTCACTGTGGCTAGTCCTGCAAAACAAGCAGAGGATTTGAGTCGGTGCCACCTGGGGCTACCTCAGGCTCAGGCGCGTGAGAACCCCCACCCCCAGACCCCTGCATGGAGACCAAAACGAGAGCGTTCCGCCACAGGCCGCCATGGGCCACCGTGGGCCACCGTGCGCCTACTGCACGGGGCCTAGAGATGAACACCGGGCCTCGCATGAGGCACAGCAACGTCAGAAGTTTAATCAGAAGGAAGCTGCACATCCTTCAAACCCACAGGACCTCGGGCGGGCAGGCCCCTCACTTCTAGGCACCCTGAGGTCTCGGGACTGGCGAGAGGGCCGCCACAAGTTAAAATCAGACCTGGGCCGAGACCCGGAACCAGAGCCGCTTGCCAGGGCTCCTGCTCTCCGCTCGTGAGCTCTTGGATGTGGCCTGCCTGCCTTCCACACACACAAGCTCATTTGCTGACCACAGCCTGCATCACGCCTCCGTCCCCCGACCAGAGCTGGCTGGCCCAGGACGGAGGCTCCTGGCTGACTTGTTGGCAATGCTGGCCAAGTGCTTGTATCTCTGATTGGTTTTTCTCATCTGTGAAATGGGTCGCCATTCCCGCCCTCCCTGCTCACAGAGCTGATGGGATGGAAAGGGGAGAGCAGCAGGCCCCGCTTCGCTGTCCAGCAGAACGAGGTGTTGGACGCCGATGTATGGGGCACGGGGAAGTCATTTCTGTCTGCTCCAGGCAGGCCCACACTGGGGCATCCTGGGATCCAGGAAGAAGGCATCTGACCAAGAGTTTACCCCCAGGGAATGCACCAGCAACAGCTCCGGTGTTCCTGCCCACTGCTGACCCCCTCTCCCAGCTCTCCCCTCGCAATGGGCACGTGGCCAGCTGACGGTTACTGTGCACCTTCTGTGTGCCAAGAGCTGTGCTAGGCTTAGGGAACTCCAGTCCCGGCTCCCAAAACTCTGCTACTTTTTCCTGGCTGCTTCTCCAGCCCAGAAACAAGCCAAATGCACCTGCGAAGACAGAAGAGAGCCTGGAGCCTGGGAGCCAGCGGAGTGCAGTAAGTCAGCCACCTGCACCTGCACCCCTGTCCCCACAGGTGTGTCAGGTTTTGCTAACAAGTGCCTCCTCACCAGGAGGGGAGGACGCTTCTTTGCGGTGGCTTTGTTTTACAGAACCCTCAGTATGGCTTCGCATCTGGAACTCATTCAGCAAATCTATCAAGAGCCTCTGTGTGCAGGCCAGGAGCTGGGGGACCTGTCTCCTGCCCCCCAGGAACCAACAGCAGACTGGGGAAGCCTGAGCTTCACTCATTCACTTACTCCCCCACCCAACGAATCTTTCCTGAATGCCAACTGCAAGGCAGGTGCTGTGCTGGTGAACTCTGCACACACAGCCCCTGCCATCCAGGGCGGGGGCGGGGGTGGGGGTGGGGGCAGAGACAGCTAGCAAACACCAATGATCTGAGCGCCTACAGCTTTAGTAAGTGCTATGAGGTACAACGGAGGCAGCTACAAAGCGGGATGCAAAATAGCCTGGGAGAATCCAAGAAGGCTGCTTGGAAGAGGTGGAAGTGGAGCTGAAACCCCAGAGGACAGAGAGGACACGAGCCAAGAGCAGGCAGGGGACAGCGTTCCAGACAGAGGGGAAGCCCCCAAATGTGGAGGAGCTTGGGGAGGAGAGGAGGGAGATGAGGCACTTAAGTGACTGAGCTGAGGAGCGGGGGCCCAGTGCCAGGGTGGATGAAGACAAGGCTGAGAGACGGAGACTGCGTGGGCTCTGGGTGGCAGGTGTCTCTCCTAGACCAAGGGAAGCCACGGGGAGTGACCAGATGGAGGCAGAGCCGGAACAAAACCTCCTGCACTTGGGAAGAGGGGTTCCATGTCCTCACTGTGGGCTGGGGCTGACCTCTGGGAAGCACCATTTTCTGGGGCGCCAAGGGGTTGCTGGGCCAGGCTGAGCATCCCTCATCCCCACACCCCAAGTCCAAAGGGCTCAAAAACCGGCCACTTCCCAGCACGGACATTCCGGAAGTGCGGGACCACACAGAACTGGGGAATTTAGGATTCCTGGATCCGGGATGTTCACCAAGTACAGTCTGTGCAAATATTCCCAAACCTGAAGCGCTCTGGAATCGGAGACCTTTCTGCTCCCGGGGACTGGGGGCTGCACGGCCTGCACCCCTACACGGGAGCGAGCAGGGGCGTGGCTCCAGGGCTCACTCTTTCCCCTTCAGGAGCGCGCCTCAGTGCTGCTGTGGCTTCCACCTGGGCTACGAGGTTCCGGGAGAGCTTCGCGGCGTCTGTGCCGGGCGCGTGAGTGCTGCTGGCCGGGGCAAAGATCCGAGGAAGCCATCTGCGGGGCCCCTTCCCAGGACACCAAAGGACACCAAAGGACGTGGCTTTTCCCGCTTCCCCATCTTTTGCCTTCTCCCCTTTGTCTCATCTTCACCAGCACCAGCCGGTGCTTTGAAACGAAGCCAGGCTGAGATCTCAATACACGTGCACAACTTGGGATGTTCCAGCCAGGGACCCTGGCGCCTGCAGGACACTGGCCTGCCCATCCTCACCCCAGCGGCTCCCCGCGCTGCCCCCCCCACCACACCGGCTGAGGAGCCGCGGGCCCGGCGGTCTGCCCTCGTCTCTTCCACCTGCAGACATTGCCCCTCCACAAGTCCCCTTATCTCTCGACGCTCGGCTCAGAGGCCACCCGGGGCCTCTCTTCACCTGCTCCCAGGGGCCTAAATGTGAAGCCCCAGGCCCTCTCCAGCCCCCCAGTCCTTGCAGGACAGATGGGGACATCTCACTTCCTTGGAGCAAAGACCCTGCCTGAATGTTCTTTGAGCCGCCACGCTCTCTCCCAAGTCCCCAGGCCTAACAGACTGCGTGGCTGACGGAGACCTGGGCGGTCCTTCGAATGTCATGGTGATGAGAGCCCCGGGCCAAGGAGCTCCCAGCAGGGCCTGGTTGCATGCGTGTGTGCCGAGCAGTCACGTGTAGGGGCGGGGATGCGGGCCCAGGCAGCCGTGGGCCCAGCTGGCGGCGGCCTTCCTCACCATCCCGACTCAGCCTCCCCACGGCCCAGGTGCGGTAGCAAAGTGGGCAGAGATGGAAACCCGGGCCCCTGCGGGCCCCTCCTCTGGCTCTCCCTGTCTGGGCACCCCACAGCTTACCCTCCAGTTACTGGCCTTCGCACGCCACACAGGCCACCAGGGGCCTGGACTATGGGCTCAGACCCCGCTCTCTGCCAGTCCCTGGGCGGGGAGGTCCTAGAGCGGTGCCATGGCCCTGACCCCTCTGGTCCAGCGGCCTTTGGGCGAGATCGAGAATCAGGGAGTGAGGATGAAGAGGCGGAACGTGACGAGGGCTGGCGACCCGGGACCACCAGAGCTCATCATCCTCCCTCCCTTCCTGGGGACCAACTTGTGGGAGAAGCCGGACACTCAGGTTCACGTCCAGCTTCCATGCAGTGGGGATGAAGGTCCCCTCGGGCTGCAAGCTGGAAGTCTGTGAGATGACCCCACGGGCGGTTCTCTGCGTGCCAGGGGACGGCGGGCGGACAGCGCCCCCGCCCCACGTACCCACTGCAGCTGTGCAGACAGGGCAAGTTCACGCCCTCCCCGGCTCACTCCTGTGAGCAGGTGCGGGCAGGGCAAGCTGGGCACAGACAAAGAGGATTTCTGTGGGACCCTGGGCAGTGGCGCCCCCACCCCCATCAGAGCCAACCCCGCAGAGGGCACAAGGGCAGAGGGCATGCATCGGCCCCGCCTCTATAGCGAGAAGCCACGTACCTGGACGGGACTCTGCGGTCTCCGGGGTCATCGTCCAGGTCATCCGAGGATCGCACAGCCCCAGCCGCCACGAACAATGAGCTTTCTACGTGGTCCACGTGCTTCCGTTTCTCCTTCTTTTTACTGCTGATCGATTCTTCCACTACCTTTGCTTCTAAGGGGTTTGCTACAGATTCCAAGCTTGGGGATTCCTGGGACTGCAAGACAAAGCAGCCACATGCAAGTCAGTATTCCAACGGGAGACGCCCACACGGCCTCAGCTCCAGCCCAGCCATTCTGTCCCCTGCGGATCCCGTCCAGCTCAGCCTTCCTGGCAGGGAAACTGCTGCTCCCTGGGCAGAATTCAAATGGCGGCGTAAAAACTGTGAGAGCTTTAGAATCAGGATGAGCCGGTTCCGAGTTATGTGACCTTGAGCAACTGGTGCTATCTCTTTGAGCCTCAGTTTCTTTGTCTATCAAATGGGTACAATTACTACCGACCACTTCCTCCAGGGTGCAGTCGTGGCCCATGGGTCTGGAGAGCACCACACAGACAAGGATGATTTGTAGGAGGACACGGTCACTGTGCCTTGGCCAAGGCAGATCATGGTGCCCTCTCCCCAGCTTTTCTCTAGTAGGGAAGAATCTTTGCTGCCTGCCCCAGGTACCTAGAAACCACCAGCAGTGCCCTTTGGGGAAACCCAGAGCTGCCTCAGTGGGGGTGGAAGAACCTGCTGAACAGGTGTCAGAGTGAAAGCAGGGAGGGCCAGGCACAGGCAGAGCAAAGCCCAGGCAGGAACTCAAGCCTGCGCCCCTCCCCCATCATCAAGCAAGATTCACCTTTTCTGAAAGGGCCAATGAGGAGACCTTTTTAGAAAAAAAATATGAGAAACACTTGCGGTTTTCAAGTCCCTCCAACTGGGAAACTAATTTTCCTTTTTTTAAAGGAGGGCCAGGAGTCAGAGAAATGCCCCTTTCTGTCTCCCCCTGGACATCACCTGCTCTCAGGAGCCAAATGCAAGGTCGGTGAGGGGGAGGGGACGATGCTGACCACACAGGTGAGCACCAGGGGCCATGGACAAGGGCCGAGTGGTGCCGGCGCGACGCTCTCCCTCCCATCTGGCTGGGGAATGCGAGGCCCGGTGGTGGAGGTACACGGCTGTCTGCCCGAGCTCTGGCCGTGAGGATTCCGTTCGCTGTCTCCTGCCTCGAGCCACCTGTCTGTGTGCAGGTGCTCCAGCGCCTGTGCCAACTACTGGACACAGGGCATGGAAGAACAATGGCCACGTCTGCAAGTCCATCGGTCGTGTCAGGGACCCAGAGAGGCAGGGGTGTGACTCGGGCTCCCTCCCCACACGCGCTCCGTCCTCTTTCCTGTTTCTGGCCCATAAGCAAGGGACCGTGGCCCCGTCCTGCACCCCTCCCTGGTGAGGACAGCAAAGGCTCATCTCACGGAAGGACGCCTCTACCCTGCCGGCTTTTTAGGGTCTCTCCAGGAAGAAGAGCAGGCAGGGGAGAAGTCGGCTCGCAGCCTGTGGGTGGGGTAGGGTGGGGGGCAGGGACCAGTTCCTCTTGTGGGGGATGGGAGGTGGCAGGTGGGCCCCCAGCGGAGCCACCCGGCCCTCCTCTCCCTCAGTCCCACCCAGAGAACAGGCAGCAGCTGCCCTGCCCTTGCAGCCGCCGCTCCTGCCAGGTGTGCTCTCGGGCTTGAGAATTCTGCTCCTCTGCTGCCCGGGCAGCTCCTCCCCTGGCCGGGACAGAGCCACGCCAATCCCGAGTGTCCTGCGGCCCCTCCCAGGGGTGAGGCTTTCTCCTTCCTCCCATGAACCTGTGAGCTCCCCGTGACCTTGGCCCTCCACTGCTACAGCCAGAGCTGTGCCTGTACCTCTGGCTCCACTTACCTTGCACCCCCAAACCAGCCTACAACACGCCTCTCACCCCTGCAGTGGCAGGCCCTGTGCTGAGCTCTAGGGTCCAAAATCACAATGACACTCTCTCCCCTGGGAGTGAAAAACAAAAGCACTTGAGGGTTCACCTGTCAAAACTATGATTGGCTATAGGTGAGGGAGCAGCAGTTCCGCCTGGGAGGAGCTGGGAAGGCTCCCTGGAGGAGGTGTCTTTGCTTTGGGCTCTGCAGAGTGAAGAACGGATTCCCAAGTAAAGGGTGGGGAAGGGCGTTCCAGGTGGCAGGACCAGCCCAGTTTAACTACAGGCACAGGACAAGTGTGGGGTTTCTGGGAGCCAGGGAGGAGGGGGCTTGGAGGGAGCAGGACACAGAGGGGTGGGCAGCCAGGTCAGAGAGAGGAAGAATCTAGAAGATCATGCTTAGGAATCAGACTCCACCTGCAGCCTGGAGAAGGGCGGTGGTCGGATGGGGCCTGTGTCTGGGGAGCAGCCATCTCTCTGTGGGCTGGACTGGGTGAGCAGCCGAGTCACCCAAGGGGCCACACCCAGGTTCTGTCCAGAGCTGTGTCCAGCAGGTGCACAGCCCGTGTGGTTTGGGATCCACCCCCTGGATTCCCGGGGCTGCAGTGGGAGAGCCGGGTAACCAGGCATGGGCAGGAATGCCCACTTCTCCTCACCTCTTTCCCTCCTCCCTGCTCCCTGGTAGCAGCAGCCCTGGGCCCTTTACACCTGCTCTCTTCTCACTCCTGGAGCTGCTGGGCACGGGGAAAGGAGCAGACAGACAAGCGTGTGGCCCACTGCCCAGGCTCAGAGTGAGCGTCAGCAGGGCGCTGGGATGGGAAGCTGGAGGCAGGCGTGGGCCTCAGACACTTTGGAGTGGGCCGTGGCCATTCTGAGTGGCGCCTTACCTGCCAGGCCAGACCCCCGGGCCCGGTGACTGCTTTGAAAATCATTACTGCCCTTCCCCTGCTGGGTCCTTACACACGACCTTGCCTGGCCCTCACGCAGCCCTGTGACCAGGGCAGGAAGCGGTGAGGCCAGGGAGGGGCCCAGGGCACGAGGTTTCAGCTGGTGCTGAGCCTGCCCTGGACGAGGCTCCAGGGGACGCTTCCTGAGTCCTGCCCCCTGGGATGCCCGTGAGCCAAGCGGCCACCCCCCAATGCTCCTGGGGGAGAAGCACAGAACCGCCCTGGTCCCCCAACCTCCCACCAGTACCTGCGGGCTCTCCACAGGGTCACTCTCTTCAGTCTGCCTCGGCTGGCAGTCCTCGCGGGGGTCAGGAGGGGCAGGATCTGAAGCCGGGGTGGCAGCCTTGTTGGGAGCCGGCTCCAGGTCGCTGGCCCGCGGGAGGCCCTCGCCTGGCCCTGAGAAGCTGCAGCTGCTCCAGGAGGCGTCGGCCTCCTCCCGGGGGTGCGAACAGCCCCCCTCCTGCTCGCCCAGATCCGTCTCCTCCATCTTCAAGTCCTCCGTGCCCTCCACGTACGCCTCCAACACCGCGGCCAGGGGCACCTCGTAGTGCGGGTAGTAGAAGAGGTCGTGCGGAATGACCGAGACCTTGGACAGCGGTGGCGAGGGTGTGAAGTCCACGCCGTCTTTGCCGGGACTCCCGAGCCTCTCCAGGCTGACGCTGCTGCTGGTGGGGTTGGAAGGAAGCTCCCCGCCAGGCCCCTGCAGGCCTTCGCCTTCCTCCTCCTCCCCCTCCCCACGGCTGCGGCGACGACGGCAGGTGGATTTCCTCTTGGCCTTTTCATACACCTCTGGCTTTCTCTCCGCTGTCTCTTCCAGTGTCGCGTCACTGGGAAGTTCATGTTCGCTGGATTCCACCTGGCATTCCGAGGACTCCTGCTTTTTGTGGGCGGACTTGGCGCTCCTTTTACCTACAAAGTTTTCATCCTGATCCTCAAAGCCCTCGTCCTCAGCAGGTGTCTCCTCACGAGGGGAAGGGACCTCGCCGACAGCTCGGCTGGTGGAAGCAAAATCTACCAGGTTGTTGCTAAACTTCGAGGCTTTTAACGGTATGCTGTCGAAACACTCGTCTTTGTCCATAGCCTCCACGGTCAGCAGCTTCACCTTGACCTCCAAGGAGCTGGCCATCAGGGTGTCTTCTGCGGGGGGCGGAGGAGGGTGACTTTCTTCTCTGTGACTGGCTGGGCTCTCCTCGGCGCCATCGCAGGGAGAGGGAGGCTGGGAGCTGCTGAGGGACCCGGCAGCTGCAGGGACACCCCGGGGGACCCCGTTGGGGGCTGCCTCAGGGGTCTTGGCGACTTCGTGCTGCAGCTCCTTGTCCTCTGCGGCGTCAGCTGCCGGCCCCTGTCCGACCTGCGCCGTCCGCGGGCTCCCTTCGAAGCGCAGGTCTTGAGTGTAGAAGGGGTCCTTGCTGCAGGAGGCGTCCTTGTACACGTCGGCCTCGAAGTGGACGGTTTTCTTGATGGGCAGTGAGTTGGACCTGCGGCCGTCCTTCCTGGTGGCTAAGATGGAAGACTCCAGGGGCGGCTCGCCGGTGCTGCCCGTCTTCCCCGGGCTGCCCTGGAGGACCTGGTCGATGATCTGGTGCATGAAGTCGGAGGAGCTGTCGGACAGGACGCGGCTGCCGCTCAGGCACATGCCCTGCACGCTCTCGGGCGAGTCGCAGACGAAGACCTTGGCGGGTGGCGGGTGGCTGGTGTCGTGGCTCACGGAGTAGGCGCACTCCCCGTTTTCTGTCACCAGCAAGATTTTGCTCTCCTGTTCCGAAGGGGTTTCTTTGATGCGGACAAAGGTGGATTCGACGGGGATCTCTTTATCTGATTCCATGAAGTCCTCCTGCAGAAAAACACGGGACAGCGTGACTTTAGCAGAGTGTCCAGTGCAGCCTGTGCCTCAGAACACACGTGAGGCAGAGAAAGGCACGCGGGACGGACATGGGGGCAGAGGACTCTGCGGACATGGGGAGGCATCGGCGAAATGGAAACACGAAACATGAGGGCCCATCAACACGGTTGTGGAAAAATCAAGTTAAAAGATACATTCATTTTGGGGCTGGCGCTGTAGCGCAGTGGGTTAACATCCAGTGCTAACATCCCCTATGGGCACTGGCTCGAGACCCCGCTGCTCCACTTCCTATCCAGCTCTCTGCTGTGGCCTGGGAAGGCAGTGGAAGATGACCCAGGTCCTTGGGCCCCTGCACCTACTTGGGAGACCCAGAAGCTCCTGGCTCCTGGCTTCAGATCAGCACGGCTCTGGCCATTGCAGCCATCTGGGGAGTGAACCATCTAATGGAAAACCTCTCTCTCTCTCTCTCCCCCTCTCCCTCTCCCTCTGCCTCTCCTCTCTCTGTGTAACTCTGACTTTCAAATAAATAAATAAATCTTTAAAAAAAAAAAAGATACATTCATTCTGATGCAAAAGATGTTGAGATCCATGGTAGTATTTTCCAGGATATATACATTTTTCATGAACTTTTGGGTTTTATGTTTAAAGATTTATTTATCCAAAAGGCAGAGGGACAGAGGATAGAGAGCGAGCTGGTTCACTCCCCAGACGGCTGCATCAGCCCGGGCTGGATCAGGCCAAAGCCAGGAGCCCAGAGCTCCACTGAGTCTCCCACATGGACACTGGGCCTCCGTCGAAGGCCTTTCCAGGCACGTCAGCCGGGAGCTCCTCCAAAGCGAGCTCTCAGGACTCGAGCCGCACTCCAATACGGGAGCTGGTGTTGGGGGCGGCGGGAGCTTAACTGGCTGCCCCACAACGCCACCTTTGTGAACTCTGTGAAGACTCCTTGTACACATGGACTTCAACATTTTTTTGCACCAAAATAAACGTTCAATTCCAATTTTCAAGAGCTTTTGGAATTACCTTCATACCATTTTTAAAAAAGATTTATTTGAAAGTCAGTTACAGAGAGAGAGAAGGAGAGACACGAGAGATCCTCCATGTGCTGGTTCACTCCTCAGATGCCCACAACGGCCAGGGCTGAGCCAGGAGATTCATCTGGGCCTCCCACGTGGGTAGCAGGGGCCCAGACTTTTGGGTCACCCTCTGCTCCATTAGCAGGGAGCTGGACTGGAAGTGGCGCAGCTGGGACACAAACCCTTGCCCGTAGGGACGCCAGCGTCGCCGGCGTTGTCCTTACTGCCGCACCGCAACACTGGCCCCCATGGGAGGCTTTAAAAACCACAGCAGCAAAGAGGTCTCAGGAAGCTGGCTCCGGGCAGGAGGAGCCTTTCCATGACAGAGACTCAGCTGATCCGTGCCTGTGGGCCGGGCCGGGCCGGGCCACGCCAGGAGAACAGCCATCACCTTGTAATAAGCTGAGACCAGCCACAGCTTTCCTGCTTGCGTGGGCTGCCGTGAGAGCCTGAAGCTGAAAGTGCTCCTAACCATACCCATCCCCCATGCTCCTTCTCCCACACAGTTCCCCACAGCCGTGCAGGGCTCAGCTGAGGGCAGGGCTGAAAAGCACCGAAGGACCTTGGTGGTACGGCGTGGGTGCCTGCCTTCAGATGCACTGGGAATGACCTTGGTGGTACCGTGTGGGTGCCTGCCTTCAGATGCAAGACTGACCCCCTGCTCCAAACAGCAGAAACCAGAGAGCCGAGACTCAGTAAGAGCACAGCACAGCTCCCGTCCACTCCTGAAGTGACCACAATGAGCAGCCCCCCTCCTCGGTGCTTGTCTGGGGCAGGACCACATGTTCTAAGGCACAAACAACTCACTGAGCTCAATCTCTACTGTGATTCTGCACGCCAGGCCTGGCAGAGTGAATTCAAATGTGAAGCATCAGGGGAACGGAACCCCACATCAAGAGAGGAAGCAGTCGGTAAAGCGGCCCCAGGGCTGGAATCCGCAAAGGCGCTAGAACAAGCAGTAGCCAACCCCTAGGAGACGCGGGCAGTGCTTCCGGCTGAAGGACAGGTGATCGCTAGAGAAGCCTGGATCAGTGTCCACATGGTAAATATACGGCTACCAGAAAAGACCATTTCAAAGCTTTATAAAAAAGAGTCTTCTGACTGTCTAAAGCAAAAATAATAAAGTTGAGGGGATTAAAATATATGACAAACTTCATTAACACAAAATGATCCAGTCATCGGGAAAATACAACCCTAAACACCTATGCACTTAACAGCCCAGCACAGCATGTGCAAAGCAAAACCAGAACTAAGAGGAGCAACACATCCACAGATCCAAATCACAGTTGGATATTTAAAAATATTTCTCTCCTCTGCTAACTGATAGAGCAGAACAATCACTTATCAATCAACCAGCCTACAGGCCATTAGGATCCCAGTGACAGGCTGGCAGACATTACGGAGTGGCAATCTTCGGCTGCACAAGACACACCCTTGTCAAGGGCATGTGACACATTTACCGGAGAACCCGTATGCGGGACCACACAGCGAGGCAGACACGTGCCCGTGGCCAGGGCTCTGCAGGCTCACAGGTGCTCCTTCGGCTGAACTGCGCAGGGCCAGCTCCCTGGGAGTCCCGCATGTGGGGAGCGCTGATCTGCATTCCCTTAGGGACGTGAGTGGCTCACGCCTACAGAGTAAGCGTCAGGGCTAATTAAAAGCCCCAGTGCCCCGCGTTTCGGAATTCAGCAAGGGGTCAGGGCAACTGAATTGCAGAGGAATTGCCAACCAGCACCACGTCAACTCTTGTGCCCCACACAGCCCTGGGGACTTCGTGTACACACTCACCCTTCACACGGCCCTGAAACAGGAAATGTGTGTGAGAACATCTGTACCAGGTGTCAGAGAGGTTAAGAAACCAGCCTGAGCTCACACAGCAGAACCCAAGTTCCAGCCTAAGCATTCCTGCTTCCAAAGCCCCCGGGGCAGCGTCGGGTAGTATACAGACAGACAGGAAACACATACACAGATCAGTACCAGCGGGAACCCAAGCACCAGAACCCTGCCTGGATCTCCTATACAAAGTGGATCCCAGATCCCAGCTGTCCGTTGTAGGGGCCTAAAAGCTTGAACTTCGGAATCATAGATGCTGGGGCCAATCCTGGCTCTGCACTTGGCATCTGTGTGACCCTGGGGAGGTTTCTGAGCCTCTCTGAGCCGGCAAAGCCTCATGGGTAACAGGAGGCCGATGACGCTGAGCCACCCTGCACTGCTTGGGGACAACCTGAGCAGCCTCCAGCTAAAACAGCTGCTCTGATGAGCACACACTCAGGACACCTGAAATGATCATGCATCTGCTGACCCCTGACCGCTCTCCCCATTACAGCAAGGCGTCCAAGGCCAAGAACCCGCATCCCCGAGACAGCACCAGGTGTGCACACATCACAGATGCAAGCGATAAATGAGGGCGTTGTTTGCGTCGCTGCTGTCATCAGCGTGAGCTCCAGGCTGCGCCCAGGCAGGGCGGGAGATGCACCACGGCAACCTCTCCAAGGTCTCATGCGGCTCCAAAAATGTCTGTCGCCAAGCACAGTCTGAGATGCTGAAGACAAGAAGTCTTACCCACGAACACTCGCTCTCCTGGAGCATTTTAAACACTCCGCTGAAACCTGAGAGCCTGCTATGGCGTCCCACCCACCGGCACCTAAGGAACAAATAGCAGACACACAGGGCAGCGTGCACCTGTTCCGACCATGGTAGAGTCTGGTACGGAAGAGCCCGTGAGAGGCGGGACTGTCTACGTTTCCGCCCCCACCCCCCACCCTGCTTTGAGTTCATACGCTACGTAGAATGCCGACGCAAAGACGTGGCAAGGCGACGTTTGGGGACTGGAGCTCTGTTTGACCCTCACGGCTGTCGCCCCACACAGCCAGGGCCCTGCTTCCTCCAACAGCCAGCGGAGGAAACGCACGTCTCTGAATGAAAGGTAAAGAAAACAAACATACGACTTCCAGCTCCGGGAAACGTTCCAGAAACTGGGCCACGTAAGTCACGATGGACTGCTCATCCGGCGGGTCGACCATGATGTCTGTGAAGAGAGGCACAGGCGTTAGGGGCACCCGGGCGGGGTGAGCTTCCAAGGCAGCAGGGGCTTCGTGAGCATGGAGCCCACAGAACACCAAGGGTTTCCTCTGTGTTCTCCACGTGAGGAGCGCACGGCGGAGAGAGGACCGGGCACGTGGGACGGAGGAGCTGTTCCCACGGCACCTCGCTCCCTACACTCTGTCCCTCCTTCCTGGCTGGTTCAGTCCCGTCCACTGGGAAGAGCCAGCCCCCGGCTGGGCCCACCAGTGAGTACCGGGAACCAGGAGCCCCACACCCTGTGCAGGGAGTCCCACGCGAGCCCACCCCACGTGGAAAGCAGCTGGACAGAGAGCCGAGCACCCACACTGTCATTCTGCTCTCTTCGCCACAGTGTTACTTATAAAAGGGACTCTTCCAGGCGCACCCAGGGACTACCGAGTAAACGCCAGTAAATGCCAGGTGGAGCAGCCTATATAGGCATCTGCCTAAGAATTATAGCAACAGATAAAATTCCTATGCTGTATTATAATGTTAAGTAACCATAGTAAGAGACCATTAGATTGACGTTGAAGAAAACCAATGATGTAAGGATATAGTTAGCTGTACAGAAAACATGGGAAACACACATGATCTGAGGACGGGAATCTGACAGAGAGAAAAACCCTGCATTAGAGTCCCCTGTGTGCCCCCAGTTCCCTATCTGGAACAGCAGGTGCGCGCTTGCGGTAGAACTTCTCTCAAAGACTGGGCGAGCAGGGCAGCTACCTTCGGGGTCCAGCAGCCTGGGGATGCGCAGGGCCTCGTGTGCGATGCTGAACGCCTTCTCCAGGTTTGCCCGAGCGGAGTCCTCCAGCGCCTGCTTCATGTCCACCAGGCTGGGGTCGATGGCCTTGATGATGGCCAGGAAAGCCATGCCGCTCCTCCAGCTGCCCGCGAAGTCCTGCACCGCCACGCCATACCTGAGGGGCAGCAGAGGCGCACGGCGTGCGTTAGAACCGGGTTCATGGCACGTGTTAGAACCGGGTTCATGGCACGAGGTCCAAATGCAGCCGCCTCACCGGCCTCCACACAGGGCTGGGTGCCGCTGACCGGGCCAAGCACAGACGCTCCAGCCCCTGAGCCTTCCCAGTCCCACTTCCCGACAGAGGGAAGGGAGGGCACCATGCATGCAGCAAATCAGACCTGTGTTTCCAGACACCAGGGGGCCTTAGAAGTTACGCAGAAAATGTGTACTATGAAAAAACTTCCCAGATTTCCACATTTTTACCCCAAAACAACACCTTTTCATTCCATTTTCCATGACCTTTTTGAAGTTCCATCGTATAAAGGGGCGATTATCCACACGTTTTTTCTTAAAGATCTGCTTATTTGAAAGGCAGAGCTACGGAAATAGAGACAGAGGTCTTCCACCCATTGGTTCACCTCCCAAATGGCCACAACAGCCAGGATCGAGCCAGGCCGAAGCCAGGAACCTGAAACTCCATCCAGGTCTCCCATGTGGGCCGCAGGGGCCCAAGCACTTGGGTCATCTTCTGTTGCCTTCCCAGGAGCATTAGCAGGGAGCCGGATCAGAAGTGGAGCAGCCAGGACTCAAACTGGAGCTAACAGGTGAACCAGAGGATGGTACATCTCTCTCTCCCTCTCTCCCTCTCTCCTCTCCTCTCCTCCCCTCTCCCCTCCCCTCCCCTCCCCTCCCTCCCTCTCCTTCTCTCTCTCTCTCTCTGTAGCTCTTTCAAATAAATAAATAGGTACACCTTACAAAACAAAAGCACTCCAGCAGGCACAGGGCCCACCCAACAGAGGGCTGGAACTCAGCTCCAGTTTTGCTGTCTCGTGCTGGGAAGACGAACCTCCAGCAGGTCCCAGGATGACTGGGCTTTAAGTGAGGGCAGACTCTGCCACACACCTGGAAGCTGACAAACGGTGTACGGTAGTCGTGCCCAGGCGGCACGGTCATGTCGGCGATGGATGAACTCCATGAAAGGCCCTCTGCTCTGCATTCAAATGCTCTCTGCAGCTTTCTGCAGACGTGTGGGTGGGTGGGTGGGTGGGTGCATGTGTGTGCATGTGTGTGCGTGTGTGTGACAATGGCGACTGCAGTATGCCCAGCTCCGAGAGCCTGCATGAAAACACAGACCCATGTGTCGCTCCCCGTCTTCGTGGAGGAACGACACAGGACCCTGCGCTGTTCTTTGGTCTGCTCGGCCCTCCCCAGGTTTGCTGCTGGTTCTTCCCGGGTTGGCTACCGACCCTTCCACCTCCGTGGAAGGGCGGTTCCCCCTGCCACTTTCCCCACTTCTGCGGGGGAGCAGCACACCGCCGGCCGGCTCTCTCGGGGGCTGCACAGGTGTTCCTTCAGATAGATGTTCCCCTTAGATGTTCCTGGTGCATGTTGTCTCTCTCCTCCTTTATAGTCCTCTTCCACCAATCCCAACTCTGCTACCCACACGCCGAGCACGCTGCTCTCCTCCAATCAGGAGCAGGTCCTACAGTTTATTGGTTGAGCTGGAGGCAGCTGTGTAGAAGCTGTTTCTCCCTTCTCAGCGCCATATTGTGGGAGAGCAGATGCATAGAATAAGTCTTAATTCCAGTAACTTAGTCTAGTCCGAGTTGCTCCCCACACCCATGCGTGCTGGGTGCCTTCAACAACGCCCGCTCCCTTTTCTCTGCCACCCCCAGGCTGGAGAGCACCCCCACCCCACCCTCACCCCCCAACCCCCGGGCCTGAGACAGCAGGGAATGCGGGCTGGGGCCGGGGTGGGGGCTGCCGCTCACTTCCGGGTCTTCCTCTGCACCCAGGCCAGCAGGGTCTTGATGGCTTTCCTCTGGTCTTTCACGGACGTCGCCACGCTCCTCTCCGTGGTGGGTGTGGGGGGGAAGGAGGAGTCGGAATCCGTGCTCCCGGAGCCAGGCGACAGGCTGGAGGATGCGGAGTTCCTGCTGAGGTTGCCCGTGAGCTCCTTGATCTGCAAGGAAAGCCAGGGCTGAGCCCGGTGCCGCTCTGGCCCTCCCCACAGCAGTCCCTGGTCTGACCGGGCCACGTGCACCCCAGGCGGGGGGACCGGAAGTCCTCCTCCCAGGGAGAAGCCCTTGCTGATGGCAGCGTCAGGGACAGGGCTGGCCTGGGGCTGGCCTGAGTGCCTGGTGCCGCCTGTGGTGCCCAGCTACGGCGCAGACCGCCTCCTCCCGGAGTAGCCCCAGCTCCGGCCAGCGGTGGCTCACGTGACTTCCTGGCCCCTCCTCCTGCCCCCTTCCCTCTGTGCGGTGAGGATTCTAGAATGCATCACGCTCCTTCAAACCCCACTGCCTCTGCTCATCCCGATCCCGCTGCCGCCTGCCTCCATCCTTGAACCCCTACTGGAGGGGCGCTTGTGAGAAGCGCAGAAGCCCAGGGCCCACCCCAGGCCTGCCTGCGGGACCAGAGCCTGCATTTCAGCACCCCTCCGGGCAACTTCCGTGTGGGAAGTTTGAGCGGCACTGGTGGTGGCACACTCCTACTCATCCCTCAACACCCAGCTGTGGGACCACTTCCCCCAGGAGCCCTTCCCCACTCCCCCGCCCCACCTAAGGGTACTGTCTTCTGGGAGCTCACACCCTGACCATGGCCTGCACCACAGAGTGCTTCAACATGGGACTGACTCGCCTGAGATCCCAGAGGGTCACGAGGGTGGGGCCTGTGGCACGGCAAAGAATCTGGGTAGAAAATGAATGCAAATCTGTGGATTTAAGGTGGCAGAGTCAGGATGTGTCCCCAGTTCATGTGCCGGAAACATCATCGGCAAATCCATCTGCATTTGGCATTTGGTGGGGGGGGGGGCTCTGGCGGGCAGAGTCGGATGCGGCCACGGGGGTGGGGCCCGTGTGACGGCAGTGGTGGCTCCGTCAGAAGCAGAGACGGACATGACCTGGTGCACTGTCTGTCTCGCCGTGTGCTGCCCTCTGCCAAGCTGGGACCCAGCGCAGGGCCCTCACTGGATACCAGCACTGTGCTCAGGCCTTCCAGCCTCCGGAACCACGAGGCCCTGTTCTTCCCAGATCTCGAGCATTCTGCTATAGCAACCAACAGACTACGGCAAAGGCCTTCACTGTTAAGATGTCCTCAAGACATTTCCGGCTTCTCTGGGGAAGTTCATTAACAGGCAGCAGAACCTGAAGTGCACACAGAACCCAGCGCAGGGGACAGAGGGCTTGCACACCTGGCTCCTCCTGGAGCTCACCCCGCATTAGGTGTCCATTTCACAGATGTGAAAGCTGAGGCTCATAGAGGACCCCTCTGAGTTCACGGCTCAGCCACTATGGGATCCGCGGCCTCAGATCTCTGGGCTAGTGCCCCTTGCATGCTAGTGTGGAGCCCAGAGTCCCGGCAACCAGCCCTGCATGGACCTGAATTTTCACTCTCAGGAAGACAATTAAAGAAGGAACCACAACTTTCTACCTCACAAGAGGGTGGGTTTCAGAGGACGATGTTGGCTCGTCCCTCCTGGTCGGAGACACGGACTGGGGCGTGTGCTCCAAGTCAGAACCCAGCCACGGTGCGGCCCCTCGTCCGCCGAACCCGCGTTTCCAAGTCTGGCTGAGGCTGCCAGGGTGGAATGTGGCAGCCGTGCCCAGCGCACCTTCCTCCTCCAGGGGCGTCTTGAATCCGCTCCCTGCACTGCTGTCAGGAGAGGAACTCTACCAAGTTCAAGTTCTGGCCGGAAATATTGCCCCAGTTGAGAACAAAATCTTATTTAACTCCTCAGGTCTTAGGGGGAGGATCTTTCCTTCTAGAGAACACAGCTCCCTCCGCTTGGAAAGCCCCAGGGACTCAAGTGGTTTGGCAGCCAAATTCCCACGGTTCTTTTTCCCAGAACAGAACAGATCCAGTGTGCCGGGAACCGAGCGTCACTGTGGCCCAGCACCCGGACCCCCTGCCCTCTGCGTGCGACGAGCAGGCTCTGCCTCCTGCCCGTGCATGCACGGAGCAAACGATTTTACCTGGAAGAAGAGGATGATGTTCCATATCAGCCCGAGAACCAGAGATGGGTTGCCGTCCGCTATTTCTGCTGCGTCGATGCTAACCAGTTTGACCTGGAAAGAGGCAAGGCATGCGCTTAAAGAGCGGCTTCCGGGGACTGGCACGCGGTTCTGCCCCGCGCCCTCACCAGCCTGGTCCTCGGGCTCATGCTGTGCCATCCGGCAGCGCGCAAGGCCACCTCCCAGGGACCCCCGCCAGCAAGAATGCACTTCCCACAGGCAGGCCGTGTATCCTCAGAAGGATCCTAACTACCCCTACGGGCTAGGCGGACCGGAGAGGGTAATGTCACACAGGAGAGCCACACAGCTACAAAGTGTCAGCCTCCTTTCCAAGGAGCTTGTGCATGTCCAGGGAGGCTGTATGGAGGCAACAGTAACACCATGGACCCCAGATTTCACACATCCCTGGGACAAGCAGAGGCTGTGGATGGTACCTGCACCGCTGCAGAAAGTGCGCTAGGACAAGTTGGAAAAGATCCCACTGATGGCCCCAGTGCGGAAGCCCTTGGGGAATGCCCTACCTGGGGCATGCAAATGATCCCCCACACTACCGAATCAGAGACTCTGGGGGCGGGGCCCAGCCATCGGGTGGGGGCAGCACAGCCCTTGGCCAGGCTCTGTTCCTGCCAAGGAAAACCCAGGAGCTGAGACCAGAAAGGGCTGGGCAGCAAACATAGTAGCCACAGTGGCTTCGGATCAGCCCTCAACGGAGGTAAGAGCCGACCTTCGGGGGAAGACAGGAGAAGCAAGGTGAGCCAGGGTAGGTTTCCACGTCCACATGGCAAAATTCTGCCCCAGAGACTCGGGAGAGAGAAAACCAAGAGGGTGCCTCACCCTGAAACTCCCCTCCCTCCCCCCCGCCTCTCCTCTCTCCTCCCCCTCCTGTCTCCTGGAGCGGGGGTCTGACCCGACCTCTCCGGCAGGGCTGGCAACACCACCACTCCTCAGCCTGCTCCTCGGAGCAGACATCTAGGCGAGGTCTGTTTCGCTGGAGGATGCCAAGAATCTAATTCAGACGGCACAGGCCCGTGACGGGCGGGTCGGCGGCCAGGCAGGATGCTGGCAGTGCTGCGACGGCCTCCCCATGCACCTGCTGTGGCCTGTAGCACACTGTCCATGGCGGGGGCAGGGGCGTCCCCCTGCCAAGCATCTCAAAGGCATGGAAGTATTTCTGATGCAGCTGTTTGTCCCTAGCTCTGAGCACAGCTCCAGGGCCACGGAAGACAGTAAACATGATCCAAGGGACTCCTGGGAGCAAACCCATGACCGACCTGGGCAACACTGCGGACCGACACGGGGGAGACTTCTTCCTCCACGTCGGACTCATGGCTGCGGGCAGCCAGTGGAGCAGGGGTGGCTTCCAGGTGAATGAGGTGGCGGCAAGAGGAACCAGTATCCTGGGTCAAGGGTCCCGCCCACGTTACCGCAGACGCTGCCGAGAGCCACGGGGAACGTCCAGTCCCGGAGCAGCGGGCGTGAGCACCGCCCAGCGCGTGGCTGTCGCAGGGGAGCTGGAGCCAAGGGAGCCCCGCAGGGCCCACGTGGCGATACGTTCACTCCTCCGTGACTCCCGGCCCCCGAGCCAGCCCAGGCTCGTTCACATCACGTCTGTTTTACAGATGCAGAAAGCGAGGCTCAGGGAGGCCAGGCTGTTTTCTCGCAGCTCCTGGAAGCGAGCGGGGAGGCCAGGACTGCAAACATCGACGAACGTGCGATGAGACACGCTTCCTTCATAGGCAGCTTTACCGAGACGGAGCGGACACTGCATCCAATCCACCGTCTCACGTACACAAGGCCACGCAGTGAGCGCATTCACACAGACGCACCTCAGCACAGCCGCCTTTGCAACATCTCCACCGGCTCCAGAGGAAAGCCTGCCCCTTTCATCTACGAGCCCTACTCCCCCATCTCCCCAGCCCCAGCCAGCGCCACATCTCCTGGCTGTCTTTCCAGATGGTCCCGTCCGGGACACCTCCCCCTGTGGACTCAGGCAACCAGGGCTTCTCTGCACCTCCTTTCCCTTCGCATGAGGTTCCCATGGTTCATTACGGTGTGGCCGGTATCGGCTTCATGCTTTTGTTGCTTTTAAAGGTTTACTTATTTATTTGAAAGTCAGAGTTAGAGAGAGAGAGGGACAGAGATCTTTCATCTGCTGGTTCACTCCCTAGATGGCTGCAATGGCTGAGGCTGGGCCAGGCCAATGCCAGGAGCCAGGAGCTCCTTCCAGGTCTCCCTCGTGGGTGGCAGGGGCCCAAGCACTTCCACTGCTCTCCCCAGGTGCATCCGCAGGGAGCCGGATCAGAAGTGAAGCAGCCAGGACTGGAACCGGTGGCTTTACCTGTTATATCACAATGCCAGCCCCTTCACTGTTTTACCACCCAAAACAGAATGCAGTATGGAGAGACCACCACGGGGCATGCATTTGTCCGTGATGGACATTTGGGCTGTTTGCACCTTTCCACCATGACACAGTGCTGCTCTGAACTGTGATGTGCTGTGTGGCTGTCGCCCCAGGACCCTCCCCTCATGGGGAGGCAGAGCCCCCTGTGTCCCCCAAAGGCTTCCGGCCCCACCATCCCGTCCAGGACTGGGGAATCTGAACACGCAATGGTGGCAGAGGGAGAGGGGAGGGCTGCCCGGAGGCGGGGCGAGGGGAGGGGCTGCCTGGAGGCCACTTGCGGTGGTCCTGGCGCCTGGCACCCCTGGGTTCCATCTGCGCCTGAGTCTCCAATCTTTCAAGTCATCACATGAGCTCAGTATCCTTCCAGCAGCTCCCCTCTCTGTTTCGATGAGCCAAGGCCAGCTCTGTGCCTGGCCACAAACAGCCCCACACGGATCGCCCTGCACGATGCTTAACTGTACGAGTTGGTGCTGGGCAAGTGCCAGGCGAGCTGGCGCTGGTCACCCAGACTGACCGCTGAAAGCCAGTGCGAGGGGAGCCCTGAAATGCAGCCCTCGTGGGCCTCCCTGCAGAGTTCCACACGCAGGGAAGGCTCGCTTCAGTCTAGCAGGCACAGCGGAGAGGGAGGACCCCATCATTTTCCTCCTGGCTCTCTTCACCCGCCGTGAGCTCTCCCGTGTTCTAAGCTCCATGAGAACGTGGTCCACTCTGACACGTGTATTGCAAACTTACTTAAAGGGGCAAAGAGTGAACACCCCAGTTCAGTTCTACAGATCTGAGGACCAGGATGGGCCACGGGACTTCCGCCCTGAGGGACGTGAGGAGTGGGCTGTGCAGACAGGCAAGGTCCCTGATGCACTGAGATGCCCGTTCCATGCAAGCTGACGCCCCCTTCCCTGCTTCTCTCCAGACCAGCACCCATCAAACCCTGCCCTCCACGTTGCAGGCAGGCGCCGGGGAACGAGGACTTACATTGCTGTCTTCCAAAAACTTCAGTGCTTTTGCGATGTTGTTCAACCGGAAAATACGATGCGATGAGGATTTGTACTCGTGCAGCTGTGGAGCAGAGCAGGAGACCAGCCAGTCAGCGCAGCAGGCCCTGCTTCGCGCTCTGCACCTTTCTCGCGTGAATCTCAAGAGCAAGACCCAGGCTCGTGGCTGAAGCCCCCCGGACTGCACGCAGTGCAGGTGTGGCTCAGGGCACCCCTGTGGCAGCAGAGTGAGTCCGCCACGCTGACAGCGCCTGAGCTGCTGCAGGGGGACGCTGCGGGGGCAACGAGGGACAGATCGGTCCAGTTCCTCTCGCTGGCCCTGCCCGCAGCTTGTTGGGCTCCTCTCTGCTGCAGAACCCTCGGTGACGTGTTGTTCTCACTGAACCGCTACAGGGAGCGGAGCACGAGCCACCTGCATCACTGCACAGCTGCTAAATCGCCCTGCTAGGGCCCTGCCCCGTGGCGGTAGATGTTTCTACTCTCCGGCCAGGAACTATGTGGACAGTTATCTCAGGTCCGGGGGAGAGGGAGGGGGAGGGGGAGGGGGAGGGGAGGGAGAGGGAGAGGGGGAGAGGGACAAGGGAGAGGGATGAAGGAGAGGGAGGGAGAGGGAAG